AGAGGTAATAGACAAGCAAAGAGAATTTGACAACTGGCCACATACAGTACACTACAAAGCCAATGTCAAATTGTGAAATTTTATAAAAACGCTGTTTAAGGTTTGTTTTATTTATTGCAATTCAGCTTTTAATTAAAAGAAAACATTATTCTTCCATGTCAGTAAGTGTTACACTTATAAACATTGGCCCTTTTTCCACTAACATTTAAAATCATTTGGTGAAGAGGATAAAAGGAAAAGGAAAACCAATACTTTTATTTTTATCCTCTTCACCACTGATCGGCTCGTTACCCGCTTGGGCGATATGTCACGTCTCTGTAACTCACTGTTGGCAAGTTCTGGGCATGCACCGGCTCCTGAATGTACCTGAACCTGCTCCAGTGTTGGTCAAGTCTGGCCTTGAAAGAGCTTACACTCGGTGCCGTCACAACACTTTCTGGCAGATTGTCCCAAGAGTTCACAGCTCTCACTCCGAAAAAGTTTGCCCTCACAGTTTTCTGGACCTGTGGCTTCTTCAATCTTGAGCTGTGACCCCTTGTGGGGCGAGCGTCCGCCACCTCCAAGTAAGGACACTCGACCGAGTAATGCCCCTTAAGATGCTTATACACCTCAGTTAGGTCGCCCCTTGCCCGTCTGTAGTATAAGCTAGGCAAGTTCAGGCGCCCCAATTTCTCAGGGTAGTTGAGGTGCCAAGTGCAGGCACCAGTCTGGTGGCCCTCCTTTGAACATTTTCAACCAACTGACAGTTCATAGTATATCTCGGGGAGCAGACGGGGTGAAAGTGTTGTGACGGCACCCAGTGTGAGCTCTTTCAAGACCAGACTTGACCAACACTGCAGCAGGTTCAGGTACATTCAGGAGCCGGTGCATGTCCAGTACAGTGTACTTGCCAACCGTGCCTAACAGAGACGTGACCGATCGCCCAAGCAGCTAACGAGCCGATCAATTGATGAAGAGGATAAAAGAAAAAGAAAAGACAGTTTTCCAGATGGGGAAGCACTTCACTCTTGAAGATCGTTATGAGGGACGGACGGTCAAGATATCTGAACGACCTTCTTATAAGACCTAATGTTTGGGTATGCAGTAATGTCAAAATAGAGTACAATGTATTGTAATGTATAGTAGGAATTCACGTATTGGGTTCTTCCTCTAAATAATGAATTATCCTCATCTACATTAACTTCAGGTGCTTGAATGTTTCAATAGAAAGGTCTATTCCTTTATTTTTATCATCTTTGCCACTGATCAGCTCGTTAGCCGCTTGGGTGGTCGGTCACGTCTCTGTTACACACTGTTGGCAAGTACTGGGCATACACTGGCTCTTGAATATATCAGAACCTGCTACATTGCTTGTCAATTTTGGCATTGAAAGAGCTCACACTCAGTGCCGTCACAACACCGAGTGTTGACCAACACTGGAACAGGTTTAGATACTCTCAGAGCCAGGGCATGCCTAGTATTTGCCAGAAACAAGTGGAATGTTATCAAGCAAGTCCTTCAGCTTTATAGATATAAGTTTTCATAGTCCATCTTCAAGTTGTGGGAGGATCCAGTTTGGGATTCGGGGAAATGTCCTAGCGTGGATAGAAGACTTTCTACATGACCGCAAGCAGTATGTGGTGGTTAATAGCATGAAATCATCATCTGCACCCATCACAAGCGGGGTACCACAGGGTAGTGTTTTGGGCCTGCTGCTGTTTGTTTGCTTCATAAATGACATGCCTGAAGCTGTACGTTCCTCCATACAGACGTTTGCAGATGACGCCAAGTCATTTCGGGAAATTAAGAACCAAGCGGACTGTGAAGAGCTGCAGAAGAATCTCTGTGGGCTTCAAGAATGGTCGATGAAGTGGCTGCTAAGATTCAATGTCATGAAGTGTAAGAGGATGCACCTGGGACGTACCAACGGTAAGGAGGCGTATCATATGTCCCAACGGGACAGAGACTGCATTAAATGAGACGGATGTGAAAAGGACCTAGGTGTGTACATTGACAATGAACTGAAGTTCTCGGGCCATTGCAAGAAGAAGGTAAATCAGGCGACTAAATTATTAGGTCTTTATAAGAAGGTCGTTCAGATATCTAGAAGGTCCGTCCCTCGTAACGATCTTCAAGAGTAAAGTGCTTCCCCGCCTGGTTCCCGAGATATTCCAGGGACTGTCAGTTGATTGAAATGTCCAAAGAAGGGCCACCAGACTGGTGCCTGCACTGCGGCACCTCAACTACCCTGAGAGATTGGGGCGCCTGAACTTGCCTAGCTTATACTACAGACGGGCAAGGGGAGATCTAATTGGGGTGTACAAGCATCTCAAAGGGCACTACCCAGTCGAGTGCCCCTACCCGGAGCTGGCGGACGCTCGCCCCACGAGGGGTCACCGAGTGTGAGCGTTTTCAAGACCATATCGGATAAACACTGGAGCAGGTTCAGTTACATTCAGGAGCCGGTGCATGTCCAGTACTTGCCAACAGTATGTAGCAAAGACGTAACCGATCGCCCAAGAGGCTAACTAGCCGATCAGTGGTGAAGAGGATAAAAGTAAAAGTAATGTCCTCGTCTCAAATTTAGATGCTTAACTGTGGCATCTTTCAGGAAGGGTGATTTGACTTACTTTTACGTATATCCTCTTCGCCACTGATTGGCTCATTAGCTGCTTGGGTGGTTGGTCACATCTCTGTTACACACTGTTGGCATGAACCTGCTCCAGTGTTGGTCAAGTCTGGCCTTGAAAGAGCTCACACTCGGTTCTGTCACAACACTCTCTGGCAGATTGTTCCAAGAGTTCACAATTCTCACTCCGAAAAAGTTTGCCCAAAATGAAGCAGTATCAAGTAACTAAGCTAGTGGGTAGGGTAGCCGGTGGTAGAGCGGTACCGCTCTTGCCTCGCAAGCGAGATGTCACGGGTTCGATTCCCGGGCCGTGGCAAGTTGTTTGGACACACTTCCTAGCCCCCCTTGGTCCCTGTTCACCTAGCAGTAAAGTAGGTACCTGTTGTAAATAAAAAAGTTGCGAATTCGTATTCAGGGAAAGTTGTTGAAGCTTCCAATAACTTGCTGACAAAAACCTATGACCCTTCAGGCTTCTAAGCCCTTAACTCATGAGACATAAAGGCAAGCACGAACTTAGCATGCTTCCCAGATGGGCGCTGTAAGCGCTTCACCTTGCACAGGATGTAGGAGGGTGCCCAATTAAAAAAAGAAAAGAAAATAAAGACTAGTGGGTCTTTTAAGAACCAAACAAACTGTGAAGAGCCCCAGAAAGATGTCAGCTTCAGGAGTGGTAAAAAAATCATGGCTGTTGAGATTCAGTGTCACGAAGTATCATTGTGTACCGAAGGCTTAGTAGAACATTAGTCGGTAATTATAACAATCCTAAAGTTGGACGAGGGGTGATTTAATAGAAGTTTATACTTTACTTTTGCTTTTAACCTTTTCGTCATTGGTCAGCTCGTTAGCGGCTTATCCAGTGTTGGTCAAGTCTGGTTTTAGAAGAGCTCACACTCAGGCATTTTGTTCAAGAGTCTACATTTCTCACTTAAAAAAAATTAGCCCTCACAATTTTCTAGACTTGTGGCCTCATCAACCTTGAGGTATAATTACAAATTTGAACAGTCCAGTGTTTACACTCTTTCTGTGCCACATATTCCCCCACTCTTTGCTCCAATTTTAATTTGCTTCTCCTCACCTCATCTTTCAACTTAAGCTCATAGACTATTAATGTTGTACATATGACAACCATTCTTTGCATATGCCCAAAACATCACAATATTTCATAGCATACCTTTTTCCTTCACTACAATAAATACAAGTACCTGTACTGTAATGACTACTATTTCATTTATTTTCACATGTAAAAGAAGTTATGAATAGCTTGCAATGTACAGAGGTCCCTCAATTAACGAGCACAATTGGTTCCACTGAGTCGGTGGTTAACTGAAAATTTTGCGAACTGAATCTTATTATTTCAATGGAATATTGGGTAATTGGTTCCAACTAACAGAAAAAGTACAAACAAAGTACTGTATATCGGTAATAGAATTAACAAAACATTAAATATAAACAAAATACTGTACTGTACTGTACAGTATACTGTACAATAATAAATAAAAACAATAGAATACTGTATTTTAACTTACTCTGAGGTGTGTATGTTGTATTCCCAGCAGCTTTGTTTACATATCGAACAGCTGATTGTAAAGGCAGTTGATGATGACACGACATATTCTTTACAGAGTGCATTGGTTCTAATGCCTTCTTCACGTTTCATAATAATTTCTGCACTGTATATTATCAATAAGTTAACTAAATTTCAGAATGACCAATAATTTTAATGTAAAAATGCAAAAATATTCAAGAGACCAACAAACTCGATGTTCACTCCACTGTAAACAAAGTTAAACTGAGAAGCATTGGTGGGTGATTCGATCAGCTGAAGGGCACACAAAAACTGTTCCCTGTACTGTATATATTATAATTTAGTTAACATATTGATAATTATCAATATGTTAACTAAATTTCAGAATGGGCAATAATTTTAAAATAAAAATGCAAAAAGAGCACAACTTTCTTGATATTTGCTCCACTGGAAACGAATGTAAACATAGAACCAATTACTGTATTGGTGGACTAGCCGATCAGCTGATGCGCACAACAAGGCGTGTTTCTCGTAAGGCTGTCATTAATCGAAGTTTTGTTCGTTAATGGAACTGAAAATCCTTATGGGAGCTAATTCATTAACCAAAATTTCGTTAATTGAACCATTCGTTAATCGAGGGGCCACTGTATATATATTTATTTATTTATATTTATATTGGCTGCAGAACTTAGATAACCAGACCTCACATGAGTGGTCCCACATGACTTTTGTTATGATCACAGAAACTTAAAAACATATTGTGTGCACAAAAGGATTAATGCACCTTCCTGCAACCCAAACGAAAGTAACAGATTACATGTATTTGGTATCCAGTTAATAAAATAAATATTCAAGAAAACACATCACTACACTGTCAGAGAATTTATTTATTGCATTGAACATTCCTATTATGTGTTTGGGTGATTCAAAAACTCTAGCTCATTTAATTATCTGTTTCAGTGAGTCACATAATGGACAGTGAATAGTTCTGGTTTAGAAACTAGTGTCTCATAAGTATGATTCTCTGCTGTACTCCTTTAAACTGTTCTAGCCAGTTTTAATCTTTATTTGGTAACTTCAAGGCCTTTCACAGCCAATGTTCTTCCACATGCAGGAAGGCCTCTTATAACAGAGCCTCATCTAATGTATGTATTTTCACTTTAGACATGAAAAAAATATTAATTTAACAAACATATCCTCAGGCTTCATTGTTTACATTCCTTCAGCCAGTCAGTGGTTGTCTCATCAACTTATACAGCCCACCAAAACTCTCTCTTCCTTTTCACTATCTCTCGAGTGTATTAAGTGAAAATTTTAGGCCCATCATATCTGGAAATGGTCTTGAATTGAGTGTTGGTAAAATAGTCAAGGTGACCAGAACATCATTAGGTTGGATGTGAAATTGCAAGTGAGACATGGATAGTCGAGGCATCAAAATTAATTGTTGAATGTCGATTAAATATGGTTTCTTAAAATATGTTAATGTCATCATTTTATCTATAAAACAAGCCATGCCAACACATGCTGAGCCATTGCCAAAGAAAGCCATCCTGTAGCATTCATAGAGTAAGAATGGCACTGTCAGGAACACATCTCAAAAGGCACCAAGTTATAACAATCTTTTGTTCCTTCCAAGAGATCTGCCTGTATGAGCCAATTTCAGTCAGAGAAAAAAAAAATGAAAATCTCCCTATCCCTATTTTTTCCAACTGTTTTAAATGAGAAAGAAAAAAACTGAGAAAGAAAATTACAATAAAGATGTTTAGTCATGAAAGAACTGGCTGCAATCTTTCAATACAGGTGTTACATCTCCTATATTGTAATAAATGGTTTGACTTTGAGATACGTATTCAAAATACACTACAGTATAAACTAACAAAAAGAATATCGAATTCAGCTCCAAGTTTGGACCACATCTACCTAGCTACAAGTCAAAATAATGTCTCAGATTAACATCTTGCTATGTACATCTTTTTACAGTACAGTATAAACATCAAATTGTTCTGGTTTTGTCAAGTGTTTAATACAACAGGTACAGTTACTGTACTCCAATATCTGTAATAATAATCTTTTACAGTATTTATCACTTATTAATTTAATGATCATTTTACTAGGAACACTAAATATGTAGGTTACGGATAACAAACACAGTGCAGTTGGTCAATTATATTTTGGGTGTGTATATATTATAGTTCATATTACTATAAGACAGTGGTTCTCAAACTTTTTGGAGTGCGACCCAATTTTGAATATCTCGGAACTACACAGCCCACTGATCCAAATACAAAAAATCAACAGTCAAATAAAATTTATTGTCATATCAACTAGGAATTTAATAGCAAAGTATAAATAACAATAAATAAAATGACTGAAGACTCCCATTTTGCACCAATGACATAGACGGTTTAAATAAAAAACAGGCAAAATGGATAACTTTGCTGGGTCATCACAATCCACTGAAAATCAGCTCATGGTCCATGGTTTGAGAACCACTGCTCTAAGAGATGCTCGTCCAGACTGCATCATTAAATATATAAATTGCTGCCTTCTGTGTTCCCCCTGACATTTATTTCTTTAATGTAACCCACAATACTGTACTTCATTTTAGGTGACAAAGTGCTCAACTGACTTTTCCAAAAATATAAAAAGTTACAACTATAAAAATGTTCCATACAATTTAATTAGAAAATATCATTTTCCATAAACTACATAACATTGTTTTTTGATGCATGCTTCTTGGCAAAATTAATAAAACACCCGTTATGTAGATTTGCTGATCTTCATACAGATGTAGCTCGACGTCTGGATAGCTCAATCATACCAAGGCTCTCTAAGAATGCTGCCACCTCCTCTTCATACTCTTGACGATGTTTCAGGTAATGACTCACATGGACTGAATCTGTCCAGCATTTGGTATATACCTGTGAGTATAATTCAAATAAAGTTACTGGATCAACTGCTAGGTTGATATATAGAAATACACACACACATTCAATATACTTATCCATTTACTCAGTATCTAGCACACACACACTTTATTACTCTCAAGAAATACATTCCTACGAAAACTCAAATGATCTAAACTAACTATATATAATTAAATCTTTATACTGTACCCTTGTAATGCATACTCCAGCTCTCATCTATTATTAATAGTTCTAACTTTTTCCTCATTATAATTGCATGAACTTTCTTTCATTGAATATTACAAAGAATATATTTCCTCTCACTTAAATGAATTAAATTACACTCACATCATCACCAATAAATGATAATTTACATTCTCCCCACATCATTACAATATGCAGCCTACAAAGTATCTACTGTAGTCTTAATAATAATAATAATTGATGTTTCGGCAATTTGACAAAGGATAGCTGACAAAGACATGAGATGCTATTTCCAGAAGTGTTCTTTAGCTTAAATGCCAACAGCATTTGGTGTTCCCAGGGGGTCACCCATAGTTTGTATTCCTGCACTGTCTAGGTACTTTGGAAATTGTATACAGTATGTGCATTGTCTATACACATGCTGAACTGTATACTTGCACTAGCTACATATATGCAGAACTAATTGTAAATTTGTATTGTTATATCTATGTATGTTTATATGCTGCCTTTATTGAATATATATATATATATATATATATATATATATATATATATATATATATATATATATATATATATATATATATATATATATATATATATTATATATTATGTTACTGCTTACCAAAGTCAGAAAGTGTTTAGGCTTGTGTAAACACGAAATGTGTTAGGCACGTTGTAACCAGGAACAGAGAATAAACGCCCAGCCAGAATGACCATGTGCTCGTCATTCTCCCTTTAAATAACGCAAGATACTACATGTATGACAATTTTACTGAATAAATATCTAACTACAGGTGCTCCTCTACTTAAGAACATTCGACTTACAAACTTTCAGAGAAACAAACATCATCATTAAGGGGGTTACCTGCCAGAGCAGATGTTTAATGTGGATGAGACTGAATTATTTTAAAGAAAATTCCAGATAGAACAAACATTACCTAAGAGGAGAAGAGTGAGCCAGGTTTTAAGGCTGTATTGTAGGGTATAGCTGTACTAAACACCCATTATCTTTAAATGTTTTACAATATGTTTGGTATCTACAAGAGTAAAGTTGGACTTCAAACAAGCATCAGGAATGTAATTCAATCATAAGTGGAGGAGCACCTGTACTGTATCTATCCACACTATCTAAAAATTATATATTCAATGACAAAACTACAGTATGTTACAATAACTTCATAAGACATAAGAGGAATGGTGTTATATCTAATGATTCCATATGAGACAACATATACACATCAGCTGGCCCTGTCAATGACCTACTGGACTATAACTCCTGTCAATTACACCCACCCCCATCCTGCAGGAAATGCTGCACATGGTCATACCACCAAAAATTCAGTACAACAGTATCTAATAAGATCATGCAGATAAACTGTGGTTTGGAAAAACTTGTAGGTTAGTTTTTCTTACTGCATTTGTTTATCTTTCTTAGTGGGGTGTAAGCCACATATAGTCATCCTCTGCCCTTCAGAGAGTAATTTGAACAATACCTCAAGTATAGGTAAAGTGGGGTATGCTATAACGAATGGATTCTACTACGAATATTCCTATAACGAACGGTTTTACCTATAAAATTGAGAATGCTATAACGAACGAAACTCCTATAAACGTAATTTTTTTTTTATTTATTTATTTTTTTTTACTAATTTATTGTTTTTTTATTACAAGTATTAATGATATTCTTTATTTCAGGGGTTTCGATGCATATTTATGCACTTTTTTTAATTTTTACAATTTTATATTATATTTTTCGGTGTTAAGTGGTTGTATTTGGGGGCCTGGAACGGATTAATCCTATAACGAACGATGTTCTAGAACCAATATGATTCGTTATAGCAAATTCACTTTAAAATATATGAACTTAAATCAAAATAATATTTGATGCCTATTGGTACAGTTGTACCCCACTTAACGCGGTCAATAGAACCCAGAGGGTCCCGTGTTAAGTGAAATCCGCGTTAAGTGAACAACAGAACATATGGGATTAATTCCAATAGAAACCGGCCCGACCCCCAAACTCCACTTTTTGAAGGCACATACCTATGTTGTAGTAAAAATAACATCTTAATTTTATGATGGTACATGCACACAATTAATACTTAAGAGAAATAGAGAAATACAGTCGCCAAGTTAATGTCCATTCAAATAATGGACTCAACTCCCTCCCCCTCTCACACTACACTGCCGGCTCTTCCCTCTCTGAGAAATTTTTGGGGGAAAACCACTAAATTTTAATAAATAATACCTCAAACTAAAGTTAGGATAATACAATTGACATTGCTGGATTCCTTGTAAGACCAGGAATATTTTGAATATAAATGTCATATATTTTGCACAAAAGATAACATAGTTACCTAGAGAAAAATTTTTATCTAAAATTTGTATGTTTAATGCAAAATATATGATGTTTATATTCAAAATGATCACCAAATTATAAGAATTCCAGCAATGTAAATTATATTCTGACCGGGTAATTTGTATGAATTTTATGAGCTAAAACAAATATCTTCAGTTAATAAAAAAAAAAAATAATCTTCAGGACACTATCTGTCAATCAAAGTACCCCACCTTGCCTCCCCCCCTCTTCCAACCGCGCGGTCAGTCCCAACCCTCCCCCCCACCCCCCACCAATCCTCCCTTCAAGAGTTTTTAACATTTAGTATTAAATAATACCTCAGATTAAAGTTAGGATAATATAATTGACATTGCTGGATTCCTTGTAAGACCAGGAATATTTTGAATATAAATGTCATATATTTTGCACAAAAGATAACATAGTTACTCTGAGAAAAATTTTTATCTAAAATTTGTATGTCTAATGCAAAATATATGATGTTTATATTCAAAATGATCATCAAATTATAAGAATTCCAGCAATGTAAATTATATTCAGACCGGGTAATTTGTATGAATTTTATGAGCTAAAACAAATATCTTCAGTTAATAAAAAAAAAAAAATATTTTCACAGGGTAACAGATGGTCGGTCGGTCCCTCCCTCCCCCCCACCCTCCACCAACCGTCCCACCAGATGTGTGGGAACACCAGAATATTTACCTTTTTTGTAATAAATAATACCTCAAACTAAAGTTGGGATAATATAATTGACATTGCTGGATTCCTTGTAAGACCAGGAATATTTTGAATATAAATGTCATATATTTTGCACAAAAGATAACATAGTTACTCTGAGAAAAATTTCTATCTAAAATTTGTATGTCTAATGCAAAATATATGATGTTTATATTCAAAATGATCACCAAATTATAAGAATTCCAGCAATGTAAATAATATTCTGACCGGGCAATTTGTATGAATTTTATGAGCTAAAACAGGCAGTCAGGCAGGGTGGCGGGTGGGGCAAATCTAAAAATAGCGTCTGGAGCCGGACACTCACCGCGTATATGTGGAAAAAATCCGTGTTAAGTGAAAGTTCAGCTCTGGCGAGGCACCGCGTATATGATAAAACGCGTTAAGTGAAACCGCGTTAGGCGGGGTAATACTGTATTCACTTCAGTTGTAACAAAATCACAATTGCAAAGGATGCCAATGGATTTCAAAACTGTATTGTTTTATAATTTTTCACTTTAAATGTGGGTTTAAATTTCCAAAGCTGACATTCACATTACTATGACTCATTCCATATACAGAGGTCCCTCAATTAACGAGCACAATTGGTTCCACAGAGTCGGTCATTAACTGAAAATTTTAAATGAATTATTATTTCCATGGGATATTGGGTAATTGGTTCCAACTCACAGAATAAGTACATACAAAGTACAGTCATCCCTTGGTTATCACGCCTAATTGGGACCGCGCCAAGTGCGTGATAACGAAAAACGCGATAACGAAAGTACAGAACCTATGGGATTTATTCTAATTGGTTCCAGGCACCCAAGACCCAACCCCAAGTTTCCCATTTTGCGACCATTTAGGCTCACTAAAGATATATACAATGTTATGGTAAATATCATAAACACACATAGGCATGGCTAAGTTTATTACAAAGTGATGAAAAGGGTACGCTCAATACTGTAGTCCACAAAACATGTAGCTATGCTTTCTTTATTTGAGTCCCCCGTCTGAGGAGTCCGTTTTCTCATTGCTTCAGGACGCCTGAGTCATCCATTTTCTCTCACTCTTAGAGTACACCCGGTACTTCGTTACTCCTTAGTAATGACACAGAATTTGAAAATAGCAACTGGGGTTGCAATTGTTGAGGCAACTTAGATATGTCTGACTACAGTTGGAACATTCAAGATCCATTGTGAGTGGTGTTGAAAGCTTCAACTGTCTTTATGGTTGGTAAAACTTGTCAAGTAAGTGAGTGTCAAGTCTGTCAGTATGAGTGGCATGTGTGAGTGCTTGTGTTTGTACAACTACTTTCAAGTTTTGTTACCTCCATCCATTTTCATCCAGCAAATGTGTTATTGTCAATTTGTAGGTGAAAGATTTTATCCTCAATAGACGTAGGTGAAGCAAGGGGGTAACAATACACCTTGGAGGCAACTGTGTGATAACTAAATTCTTGGCCTAAATATATAGATAATGTTATGGTAAATATCAGAAACACACATAGGCATGGCTAAGTTTATTACAAAGTGATGAAAAGGGTACGCTCAATACTGTAGTCCACAAAACATGTAGCTATGCTTTCTTTATTTGAGTCCCCCGTCTGAGGAGTCCGTTTTCTCATCGCTTCAGGACACCTGAGTCCTCCGTTTCCTCTCAATCTTAGAGTGCAGCCGAGACTTCGTTATTCCTTAGTAATGACACAAAATTTGAAATTGCAGCTGGGGTTGCAATTGTTGAGGCAACTAGATATGTCTGATTACAGCAAATGTGTTATTGTCAATTTGTAGGTGAAAGATTTTATCCTCAATAGATGTAGGTGAAGCAAATGGGTCAAAACACCTGGAGGCAACTGCGTGATAACGAAATTCTCGGCTTGAAAAATGCGCTATAACAGCAGGTGTGAAGATTTTGATGGAGGCGTGATAATGAAAATCACGATAACCAAGTGCGCTATTACCAAGGGATGACTGTATTGTATACCAGTAATAGAATTAACAAAACATTAAATATAAACAATATACAGTACTGTACAGTATACTGTACAATAATAAATAAATAACAATAAAATACTGTATTTTAACTTACTTTGAGGTGTGTATGTCGTATTCCCGGCAGCTTTGTTTACATATCAAACAGCTAATTGTAGAAGCAGTCGATGATGACATGCCATATTCTTTACAGAGTGCATTGGTTCTAATGCCTTCTTCATATTTCTTTATAATTTCTGCACTGTATATTACCAATATGTTAACTAAATTTCAGAATGACCAATAATTGTAAAGTAAAAATGCAAAAATATTCAAGAGACCAACTTTCTTGATATTTACTCAACTGGAAACGAATGTAAATAAAGAACCAATTCCTGTACTAGCGACTAGCCGATCAGCTGATGCGCATAACAAAGCACATTTCTCATAAGGCTGTCGTTAATAGAACTGAAAATCCTTATGGGGGATAATTCGTTAACTGAAATCTCGTAAATTGAACCGCTCGTTAATGGAGGGACCACTGTATTAAAGTGTTCTGTTGTGGATTCTGTGCTAAGCCTCAACAATGACCTGGAGTGATGCACAATACTTACATGCCACAGAGCCCCTTGGCCTTCTTTAAGTGGCAACTCCTGCTTCTTAAAGAACCTGTCTGATGCTATGGTTGCAGCAAGAAGATAAAACTAATACTGTAACTGGATTAGCTTTAGCTGTTATTTTGGAGGTTAATCTGGGTTTCGTCCTGTAGCCCTGGCTGGCTAAATAATACAGGTCAATCAGCCCAGTCTTAAGTACAAAATGAAAATTCAGGATGAATCCATCATTTGTAGTACTATACCAAGAATAAACAGTTTACCTTGTGCTTGCTGATTGCTATTCCTTACATACTATGAGCTCCAAAGTTGCACTTTGCTACAACCTTGTGTTCACTGACTGTTTTACCTTATTCTATTACAAATCAAAGACAAAGATATAAAACATGCACTGGAAATGAAGCAACAATTATAAAGAATTAATACATTCAAATTAACTTACAGGGTAATTTTTTTCTTCCCATTTACTATATACTTTTGTATTCATCTCTGGAGTGGAGACAGGATCATTCTCTGAGAAGAAAAATAGTGCTGGAACCCCAATGAAGTTTTCATGCATCTTAGCACTTGCTCGTTCGTAGTGAATTGTTGATGTGTGGTACTGAATCTTCAGGTACCATCTGCAGAAAGATAAAATACTGACTTTACTGGGTTTAACCTTTAAAAGTTCCACAATAGTATTCCACAGTCAACAAAATGTTAGTAAGGCATACATTGGTCTGCAGTAAATACATACAATTTCAGTCTGGTAATTTTCACACACCAGGAATATTGGAACAAACATTTATGATTTCAGAAAAAAAAAGAAAAATCTTAGGCTTGTAGGATGAAATAATGGTGGCCCATATAATAACTTCTCAGATGAATACCATGTAATGTGAGATCTGTGCCTGCTTCTGCTTTTACATCCCTATGCACTCAGTCCCAGTTCCTGTACTGTATACACTTGTCACAAGCTAGCTATCCACACATTGTCCTGTGTTGTCTCTGCTTAGCTATATTATGCACTGTTCAATCTTTGTTTCTGGTTCCGTGATACTTTTAAAGCTCTTGGGATGGCTTCCAATGGTGATGCTCTGTGTGGTTTTCAAAGGAGGCACCTCAGCGAATTAATCTAACAGGGATATGCACTGGAAGAGAGTACTTGCTGGTACATGTATTACAGTCTTATTAAGGATAAAAAGAAACTTTAGTAAATCTAAGTCAGTAAGACAGGAGTAATTACCATGCACAGTACAGATGACATCAATGCCTAAAGTGGTTAATGGGAAAAACAAAAATATATCATTATTGTGAAGAAAAGAGAAAGTGGGTCTTATTGGCCAGACTGTTCATCAGGGTAATCACAGATCTGACACTCTGAGTATGAATCCTCAGGTATACAGGCAGGGAATGTGGCTGTTAACACATTTAACTCCCTTCACTTCTCTAACTATAATGTTAGGTACATAGTCAAGCAGGGTCAACTGGGAGTGCCCCAGGAGTGAACCAATCACCTTTAGAAAAGGAAATGAATGCTGTGTCAACTCATCCATTACACCCCCTTAATATTTTAGTGGTTTGTCACATATTATTTTAAAGTTTCCTGACATTTATGACTTTCAAAGATGATACAATTTGAGCACTGATAATTCATAATATTTTCTTAATACAGTATACAGTAGAATCTCTATACACTGGACTTCAATACACCAGAATTCCTTTTATTTTCCCCAGGAATACCCAGCATCAGTCCAGACGGTTTGTGTGTTCGTAAATGTGGTTGAACGTCTGTCAGTGGGTGTCGCGTGGCACCTCACTACCTACACTCATTTAGATGAATTTTTTATGTAGAGTTGATACAGTACAGTGATCCCTTGGTTAACGAGCGCCTCGGTTAACGAAATTTCGGTTAAAGAATAACAGTACCTTCCATAAGATTCTTCACTTCGCTTAACGAAAAAATTTCGGTTAATGAATTCCTTACGAATTTTTCCCGTGTTTTCGCCTGCATATGGCTGCTCACCAGCTGTAGTATTAGTCTGCCAATACAGTAATTGGTTTTAGGGCTTAAATTCCTTACCATTTTAGTAAATATCAAGAAGGTTGTACTATTCAATAACTTTAAAAGTTTTATATTAAATTTTTTAGTAATTTTAACAATTATTGAACATAAATGAAGTACAGGAAACTAGTTTTTTGCCCGCCAAACAGCCACTCAACACACCAAGCTTGGCATCAGTTTGTTTACAGGTTCAGAGGAAGGAACATCTTGTTTGAGACTCTTCAACATAAATACTTTTTTTCTGTGTTTCCAGTCAAATTATTGGTCATTTTGAAATATATTTTACATATTGATAATATATAGCGCAGAGCAGTGTTGATTTAAAGAAAATAATCTTGAATTACACCAAGTGAACTAAAATTTTATGGGTGAAATGGCAGCATGGGGTGACTTCTCTTCCACCCCAATGCCTTCTCTTCTCCCTTCTCCTCCACCCCCATTCTAATTCCCATCATCATCAACCAGGAGCCTTCTACATGCACACCTGAAAGTAAGTGTACTTTACTGCATTTATTTTTAGTTTGTATGTAATTTTCAGTGAGCTGGAACCAATTACCCAAAAACCCATTGAAACAATGGTTTCGGTTAACGAATTTTTCGGTTAAAGAGCAACCTGCTGGAATGAAGTGTGCTCGTTAACCGAGGGACCACTGTATTATCATTAATGAGGCTACTTGAGGACTTTAAGAAATGGGTAAAAAAAAAATTCTTAAGAAAAGAAAAACACTTGCACACTGATTACTGTACAGTGGTCTAATCAGATTTGATATAACCCTTACGAGAGCTAAGATACTGTACTGCGTATGTAAAGAGGCTTGGGGTGTTGATGCATTCACCAGGTTTATTCATTGATTCAGTACTATAATGTCATATGATCAGCCTCTTATGGGTGTGTTATTCATGATTAATATAACATATTCAATAATAGAAAAAATACAATACTGTATATAATTTATAATTTAACTTGAAAATAAAAGGATAAGCTGAATTTGAAAGTAATCACTCAGGATGCATTCCTGGATTGAGAGTTTTCAGCAAATCAGCTTACAACAAGGTCACTATAACATACTGTATAGTATTTGCCACAAAGAAAGTTCTTCTTTTGTGTGTTTTCTTAACCCGTAGGCCCCGGGTGATGTTCCAGAATGTCCGCCTATTTTCCCGTCATTTATTTATTTATTTATTTGTTTTAATTATTTTTGGAACAGTTGATTTTTTTCTCGATTTATCCTGGGGGGGGGGTTACTGCCAGCAGCACCCTAACCCGGGGCTTAAGGGTAAAGGACTGTAATTGTGATTATGATTACCATTCATGGGGAGATACAGTGTACACAGTGATAGCATATAGATAATTTCATTAATGAGAACTGGAAAAGAGAATACAGTATAGGTAAATAATAGAAAAAAAAAAGATGAACTGTCCCGAAGGCATTGTTGCCTCCACAAAGATAGTTTAATTTAATTTTTCATGTGTGTTCTAAAGGACTGGGATTGTGCATATGATCCACCATTCACAGCGAGATGCAGTGTTTGAAGTGACTACACATAGAAATACCAATATCTCGTCGAGGAGAACTGCAGAAAACAAGTCAAACTGTCTTCGACGGCAACACTGGATGAATGAGGGTGCAAGCGAGATCAACACCGGCAGGCAGCCAAGTGATTTTTTTTATATAATATAAGTCTGTCACAAGGGCATGATCAGTCACACATCTTAGTTCACTTAGATTACAATAAGTAGATGTGATTATAAAGGAAGTTATCCCAGTAAGGGGTAAATTTCTTTATCAGAAGAATTATGTGCAAGTCCGGTGGTTGGCATCACACCCCCCCCCCCTACTTACCAGACAAAGAGGCCTACATGAATGCAGTGGTGGGGCCTTAAAGTGGACCTTTAACACTAAAGCCATGCCACCAAGACACTCAAGAAATTATCACAGTAATAATAAAGATTATTATCATTATTTTCAGGCAGATGATCAGAATTATATCACATTGTAAAGTGGGCTTAAGCCTCAGAGGATTTTTACAGAGTCTGCACACCCCCATCCCCAGCAGTGACAGCTGTCTAGCACCGGTGTCCCACAGGTGTACAGTACATAAAAGAAAGAGGAAAGTTAGTGACAAGACATGAATAGGCGTAGGGAATCAGAGACTAAAACCCCCGCATCACCAGGAAGTTTGTTGAGATGCAAAAACTGCAAGATGAAGTCTGATGAACATTATTTTTTTTTATTTTACTTTTTAACGGGGATCTCACCCGGGCAAAGGTTACTGACCCACACCGGGGCCTGGGGGGGCGAAAATGTAATAATAATAATAGTAAAAATATAAATAATAATAACAATAATACTGTAATAATAATAATAATAAAATTAATAATAATAATAATAATAATAATAATAATAATAATAATAATAATAATAATAATAACACCACTAATAATAATAATAAAGAACCATAAAGAAATACAAAAATGAAAAAAGATCAAAAGTGAGAAACAATATACAGGTTGACAATCCCTTATCCGAAATCCTTGGGGCCAGAGGAATTTCGGATTTCGGAATTTTTCGGTTTTCAGAATGGTTAGTTTTTTTTTTAATGTGCATTAGCCCATCCGGGCATAAATCACTGACCCACATCAGGGCATGGGGGTCGAAAATATAATAAATAAATAATAATAATAATAATAATAATTCACAAGTCTAGGTCGTGTTTCTCACTTGATCTTTTTTCATTCTTGTATTTCTTTATTATTATTATTTTATTATTACATTACTCCTGCATTATTGTTATTTTTATTAATTTTATTTTTATATATTATTATTATTAATGTTATATTATTTTATTTTGGTGTATTTGTATTAAATATTTTATTTACTATGAATAATTATTACTACATGTATTATAATTATTATTACTACAGGTGGCCTATCAAAAATCCGGCAACCTCGGGACCTGAGGAGTGCCGGATTTTCGAAAATGCCGGAAAACTGATGGTTATATTTGCTGTATAAGTTTAACAGAAAATGACTACCTGTACAGTCCTTTAAACAAAGAAAATTAAACACTTATGTTAGGATAATATAATTGACATTGCTGGATTCCTTGTAAGACCAGGAATATTTTGAATATAAATGTCATATATTTTGCACAAAAGATAACATATTTACACAGAGTAAACATTAGCTCTAAAATTTGTATGTCTAATGCAAAATCTATGATGTTTATATTCAAAATGATCATCAAATTGTAAGAATTCCAGCAATGTAAATTATATTCTGGCCGGGTAATTTGTATGAATTTTATGAGCTAAAACAAATATCTTCAGTTAATAAAAAAAAAATATTCTTCACGACACTATCTGTCAATCAAAGTACCCCAACTTGCCTCCCCCCCTCTTCCAACCGCGCCAGATGGTCGGTCGGTCCCAACCCTCCCCCCACCCCCCACCTTCCATCCCTACCAGAGAAATGTTGGGTGAAAAAACTAATTTTAACTTTTAGTAATAAATAATACCTCAAACTAAAGTTAGGATAATATAATTGACATTGCTGGATTCCTTGTAAGACCAGG